CGAGTGAGACACTGCAAGCCTTCTGGCAACTTTTCGGGCGCCAACTCCATCCTGCAACCTTGCCACAGCTCTGGCACAATCAAAGTCTCTCAGCTTTCGTCTTGGCGGCATGTTGACGCGATACTAGACTGGATTGTGCGAAAAAAGGCGTCTTATATTGCCACCAAAGTGAGCACAGTTCGAGACTGTACGTCCGTTTATGAGGTGCATCAGAATTTTAACTAAGGAATGTCCGTGGTGTTGCACAAAAGTCGATAAAAAACAGCAAATTTGGCTAAAATTCCCCGAGGATTTCCGTGCCGCACGCAGTGGCTTTTGGCCCTTCAGGAAGCTTTACAGTACTCATTGGCAACCCATTAACACTTTCAGAGCAGAAAAAATTGAAACATGTCTTGCTGTCTTTTTTTTCGAATTTAAAAAAAATCACGGCTGTCTGCCAAGGTGTTCCTTAACTTATGTTGAAATGGTTATTATTCTTTCTTCACAGAAACATGAGTTCTTCTGGTTTCTGGCTTGTCTACAATAGTTTCAAGACAGGTATGTATTTGATTTCAACTCACGCTTTCTTTATTACAAACACACACACACTCTCTCTCTCTCTCTCTCTCTCTCTCTCTCTCTCTCTCTCTCTCTCTCTCTCTCTCACACACACACACACACACACACACACACACACACACACACACACACAAGCACACACATACACACATACATACACACACAGACACACACACACACAAACACACACACTCACACAGCCGTGTGCACACATGAAGCTATGACAAGCCTGATTCCACGGGGTTATGACACATACTATTTACTACACTACGGATTGTTTTTGCTTGTTCCATAGTTTTCTCATTAAGGTTCAAGAAACTAGATAACTTGCAACGCAGTTCCAATTTTGATTTAATCCTTGACTGTAAGTTGTGTCTGGTATTAATCTACATAATAGGCGGTGCCTATTGAAGGATCGGCCCTCTTCGTTTCGATTCTGTTCTGTTCGGTTCGGTTTGCTTTTTTCATTCCGGTGGCTTTAGTGCACACTGTAAAAAAACAACCTGCCTCAATTGTATCAAATGACCCAGAAGGTAACAAAACTTACTGTTAACGTGAAAAGTCACACCCTCGTACAAATGCCTTCCAAGGCAGTTTGCCGCATACAAGGATTACTATGTTCTCTAACCCCACACACACGGAGAAGATCTGTAGATCTCGATGATTTTCTCGCGATCTATCATCACCCGTCGGATGCCTTGCCGATCGGCGTGGGCGATCATGGACCTCCACGTCCCTCTGTCTCGCGTTGCAGCAATGGTGTCTGTTCTTCTTTCTGCTCCCAGCCATGTTGTCAACTTGTCTATAGAGTCGGTTTTGAAATATTTTGGCCTTCTGCGCAAAAACGTCTGATCTCATGATGGTCACATGACCTAATAGGGCGTTATTATTGTCTGTACCCAAACCAATCACCCGACCCGGCAGCGTGGTGGAATTAGGCGCTCGTCAAATCCATGAAATCAAAGAAAACGGCATTATTTCCTTGCGTTTGGTTATTTTTTTTCTTCAAATTTTCCATTTTTGTCTCAACATCTTTTATGCCATTTTGAAAACACATTATTTCTGATTAGATTTTTACCGAAAAACGTTCATTAAAGACGCGGAAAATGTAAATTTCCAATTTCCAAGGACTCTCAAGCTTTGGGAGTCACCACACTTCGGTGGCCATTTTCTTGCGTTTTACTTCTCATGCCAGACGACCCCAACACCTTCAAAAGGAAATATCTCAACTTCCATCCAAGAAAGAGGGGTATCTTTTTTCGCCAAATACAAGACAAATTCTAAAGCTTTAATGTGGTATTAATAACTCTATATGCCCAAAACTTGACGAGCGCCTGATTCCACTGCGTCGTGACACATATGCTTCATAAAATACACCACTACTGTCGTCAGATGAAGAGTGCAAGGGACTTAGAACAGAACTGACGAAGGAAGGATTTGAGTACACGTTGCCAAGCGACGTTTTCCAAAGGTAGGATTTTAGAGAAATAGTGATCTCTTTTAATTTCATCATCATAATAATAATATCTCCAACGCAACAGCAGCAACAACAGCAACAACAGCAACAGCAGCAACAGCAGCAACAGCAGCAACAGCAGCAACAACAGCAACAGCAGCAACAGCAGCAACAGCAGCAACAGCAGCAACAGCAGCAACAGCAGCAACAGTAGTAGTAGCAATAGTAGCAGTAGTAGTAGTAGTAGTAGTAGCAGTAGTAGTAGTAGTAGTAGTAGTAGTAGTAGTAGTAGTAGTAGTAGTAGTAGCAGCAGCAGCAGCAGCAGCAGCAGCAGCAGCAGCAGCAGCAGCAGCAGCAGCAGCAGCAGCAGCAGCAGTAGCAGTAATCACAAAAATGAAGCAGCCATCATCATCATCATCATCATCATCATCATCATCATCATCATCATCATCATCATCATCATCATCATCATCATCATCAACATCGTCGTCGTCGTCGTCGTCGTCGTCGTCATCGTTTTGTAACTCTCCTCAATGTTATCCAAGGCACAGCAGCTGTGAGTTTACTATGGCCAGCAACCTTTCCCTGGGAGAACGAGTACGCTTCAGAGTCCTCCATTCTGAAAGTGACGTGACGCTGCGATCAGGTGAGATATCGCTAGATTAGAATTACAAAGATCTATCTGCTCAGTACCTAGATTTGTGACATTTAAAGATAAAAATTTGGTGTTTCCCAACAGGTCAAGTTTTTTTTGGTGGTGAAATTCTTTTAACATCTTGATAACGACTCCGAAGAATCTTAGGATTTTGATACAGCAGATAGAACATTTGGTGTCGGGTCTCATGGTCTTAGTAACTCAAAACGCCCCAAAAATGTTAGATAAAACATGTTAATACTAAGATACTACAAATATGTTCATTAATAACTAGAGCGAGTTCAGCTCAAGATAATTCGTGTTGATTCTACATTCACGGTGTCTTCTCACCAGATTCTTCGACACAAAATTAAATGTGAATATAATAATGTGGTATGGCAAACCAACGCGATAGGACGAGGACGAGCATACATGCACGCATACACAAATACACACACGCCCACGCACACACATATTACATGTACACGGTGCGAATATTCATGCTTGTAAACTCAGCCCCACTCTCCGTTTACTTCCACCTGAATGTGTGTGTGAGTGTGTGTGTGTCTGTCTGTCTGTCTCTCTTTCTGTCCGTGTGTCCGTCAGTCCTGTCTGTCTCAGACACTCCCTCCCCCCCCCCCCCCCCACCATACAAAAAAACACAGACTAATACACGCATAAACACACACCCACACATATATAATACACACACACACACACACACACACACACACACACACACACACACACACACATACAAACACAGACTAATACACACATAAACACACACTCTCTCCCACACACACACACACACATACACACACACACACACACACACACACACAGACGCACACACACACACACACACACACACACACACACACACACACGCGCGCGCGCGCGCACAGCTTGTCTGACAGAAAAATCTCCAACTGGTCCATATCTTGATACTCATGTCTGGATATCATTAGACTAACTAGCCCGGTTATCCGTTGCTTAGAGTAGGCACAACGGGTACTGTATAATCCTCCTGTAGTCGTGTAACAGGTCCCTGCGTCTGTAGAGGGGGGGGGGGGTAGGCACTTCGCTGAGACCAGAATGGATTCAACTCATCAAAGCAACACCAAATAGATCGCTCAGATGGATTTTCTGCCCTGGACATGCAGGCGTTAAAGGAAATGAAAAAGTTCGACAGACTGGCTGGTGAGGCCACCTCAGAAGACAGCAAGGTTCAACCAGACAAGGTCGAGATCCTGAAATGTCTCTCTCGCCACCTAATTGTAGAGGAGGGTAAGGAGTAAGGAGGCAGAGGCCAGTACTGCTGTGGAGAGGATGATGATATTTGGTAATACAAAAAGGAAGCGGAAAATCTGGCACCCTTGCAGGAAAAAAAACGAAGAACGTTCAACCAGACATGCACTGGCACAATTAGTAGAAAGACCCTCACCGGCATTTTGGAGAGAGCATCAATGAGATAGTGGTTGATGAAGCCCACGTGGGACGCTCAATGTTAAAAACAATCAGGAAACGACAAATGCAGCTTTTGGGACACCGGAATAGACATAAGGGTCTTGAACATCTAGCTCTCACTGGCAAAATTGAGGGCAAGCAAGGCCCAGAACAACATGCTTAGGGAACCTAAACAAATGGGTAAAAGGGAAAGATCAGAGAAACATAGCTTTTTTTAGAGCATCCGAGGAAAGAAATGGATGGAGAACCTTGATTGCCGATGTCTGTCGCAGATCTAGCACTGGATGATGATGATCAATGGACGTATCCAGAATGCAAGAATGTTGCTTCCTGAAATAATGAACAATGTCGTACGCAGAAAATCCGAATTCGATTCCTGAGTGCAGAGAATTTTTTGCCAAGTATCCCGGTAATTCTGTTAGGACTTTGCATTCCCTTTCACTCCGCGTGAGTCCTGACAGGCAGAGCCGGAAGCCTGCACCCTTTTTGTTATATTAAAAACATGATAAACAAAAGTAGTTATGTGCACTCCACCCCCACCCCCTCCTCCCTGCTCCCCAATCCTCTGTTTTTCGTCCCCAGTTGAATATGATGAGGCAGGTCACAGCAAAATTCACCCACTGCTCGACAATGGAGATTGGCGTCCCTACAAGTGGGTCTACTCCAGATACCCCCTGGCTCTAACCCTGAAAAGAAGTGCTTACACAAGAAATGGCGCGTCTTCCTTCAGCTTTGAAGTGATCGATACACCTGGTGAGTTTGTGTCCAGTCGGCGTTTAAAAAAAAAAGAATATGATGCTCTAATGTGATGCAATTAAAAAGAGATTAATTATAGTTTTTCAGTTTTAGCGTGCAGACAGAGTGGGCGCCGACGGACGCATCGCCGAAACGACGAGTAAACGTTCATGACGCATCTGCTTGATGACGACAAATTTTATTTACAAAAGAAGCGTGAGGCCCGCAGGAGTGGGATCGTCGCAGAAGCGAGGCGTTTGCGACGAGAACGCATAAGGTTGGTCCCAGAGTGGCTCTGTAGGTCTGACCTGTAGCTGGCCTGGCGCACACGTGTGCGTGTCAGCACAGCCGCACTGTGGGTTGGCGCCTGTGTCTCAGCGAGTGCGAGGCACACTCGCTGCGTCTAAGCACAGCCGCACTGTGTTGACGCGTGTAGGTGTGCAACTGACGGGTCTGCCTTGCTATATTTAGGTACTGTGTAATCCAAGACCAATTATACCCAAGACGGGACAACTCTTCTTTACGTCATGTGGAGAGAGAAAGAGAAGGGGGGGAGGGAGGAATGGAGGGCGAGAAGGGGGAGAGGGAGAGAGATGAAAGGGGGGGGGGGTTGACAGAGGGAGAGAGACACATACACTCATTTGCACGGTGCGAGCCAGGCGAGCTACAGGTCAGACCTACAGAGCCACTCTAGGACCGGCATAAGGCTCTGGCTACACTGCAAGCAGAGCAGGCTGAGCATAGCAGAGCAGGGAAAATTAAAGGCGGGTCAAACCGCCAGTCACCTCTTTGTCTTTTTTTTGTTGTATTGTTTTTGTAAAGTGTTTTACGGCGCTCGCAACTGCATAAGGTCAAATGAGCCCGCGGGACACACCTAATATTTTCAGTTGGTAGGAAATTCTGAATTTTGCCTGGGTGGCGGCCGAAGCCTACTGTTATCGATTTTAGACCACCAAGGGATCTTTAACGTTCGCAACTTGCACACGGGCCCTCCGAGATTTTTTGCCCTTGTCCGAGAAGGCTAGGTGTAGATCTTTCCTACCAGAAGATCAGGGGTGTGGCTGAAAGACTGCAGTAAGAAGAAGCGAAGGAGTAGCAGTAGAAAGGCTGCAGAAAGAATCAGGAGCCCAGAGGAAGGGGCAAAGGAGGTGAGGGGGTGGGGGCAGAAAGAGGAGACGAAAGCAGACAATAGAACATTGCTAGAGAGCAGGAAATGAGGTGAAAGGAGACAAATTTAGAGAAGAAATTTTTCGGTCGCTACCCAGATTCGAACCCGGGAACTTTTGAATGAGAGGCCAACACCTTACCCTCTAGGCCACGAGAGCCCCTCTTTGTCTTTGTAGTGTGTCCAGAGCCTTTAAAAAATGTGCCGTGAGTGCACTACGAGCTGCACGAAAATTTCGAGCCTCAGTTGTCAAATTGCTACTCGATCTAGGTCTCCATATTGCGGTAAAAAAATTCGTGGCGTAGCTTATCCCCAAATATCTCTTTAACGGGTGAATCAATGCCCCCCCCCCCCTCCCCACCATACTTTGCACATACAGTTTGTTTAAATTTGTCTTAACTTAATCATATTTTTTCCTAAATAATAGAGGATAGATATAAAATAAACTTTTATTCATGAATTTATATAAAATATTACAAATCTCTGTCACGCGGAAAATGGGATTATTCACATTCACGGCACTTAACGCTTCTCACACACATTTTGCATACGCTTTATAATATTATGGCCTATATCACGGCTCACCAATGACACTTTCTTTTGGTAAAGCTTGTTACAAGAAATTGATTTTATAGTTAACACTTTTTGCACTTTGGGTTCTTATAACATGCGTTCAGTAAGCATACTTTTGCGATGAGAAAATGAAATAATGAACTATCTTTTAAAAGCGGTATTGTCCCAACTGTAAACCTTTTAAAATTTGTAGAAACCACCCACTGGGATTTTCAATTAGTATTTATTAAGGGATTTTCTAGAATACAGCTAGCAGGTGTTTACAAAAAGATCTACCCTGAACATAACCCTACCTTAGATGTCAAACCCTCTGGCTCACTCTCTGTCTATCTATCTATCTATCTATCTATCTATCTACCTATCTATCTATCTATCTATCTATCTATCTATCTATCTGTCTATCTATCTATCTATCTATCTATCTATCTATCTATCTATCTATCTATCTATCTAATAACCAAATCCCCGCTCAACAGCAAGCTCAATGCGCTTCACAATCTATACTATTACCCCAGCTGACCTGAGAGCACTATGAAACAACCTCAACTTCCAGGGAAGCATACATATAGGCGCTAAAACACTAGCATACTGACGAAACCTTTCACAGTCTAGGTACTCATTCCCACCTGGGTGAAGTGAGGAAAATTCGTGTTAAGTGCCTTTCCAAAGGACACAACATCGGGCCCGCGGCTCGAACCCCCGAACCCGCAACCACACGATTATGAGTCCTAACCACTAGGCCATTGACGCCACTATCTATTTATCTACCTATCTATCTATCCATCCATCCATCCATTCATCCATCTATCTATCTATCTATCCATCTATCTATCCATCCATCCATCTATCCATATATCTATCTATCTATCCATCTATCTATCCATCCATCTACCCATAATATATCTATCCATCTATTTATCAATCCGTCTATCCATTCATGGACCCATCCATCAATCCATCCATATTATCTATCCATCTATCAATCGGGAGCTGTAATCCATCACTTGAGCGTCAGTGGGGCTGCCAATATTGAGAAGGCGTTGCCTCTGACGATCGCCAGAGAGATTCTCTGGAACTATTTAACTGTTTTGTTGTACGTACAGTCTTCTAGTGATTTTGTGGATGGGGGATGGATGCTCTGTAAGGTTTGCATCTTTGAACCTATCAAATATCTATCATCTTTATTTCTCCTTCTTCTTTTCTTTATATCATGTAACCCTCTCGTAACATCTCTAATGCTCGGCAATAATGTTACAGAATTGTGTAGCAAGTGCCGTAAAACTCGCTCCAAGACTAAACTAAAGAGTGGTTTCTGTGCCTGAAACAAACGTACGCTGTACGTCACTGATGGTTTTTAGGTTTAGTAAGAGTTTTACGTCACTTGCGACCCGATAAAGTTCTTATAAGTGCCGAAGATAAACGGTGTCACAAGTAAGTGAGTAACAAACACAAAAAGAAGTAGGGGGGGATCAGGACGATAGATATTTGATAAGAATGAAGGAGCAAACCAAATCAGAGCACCCGCCAACCACCCGCACTCATGGTCTTTTTCTGTTCCAGGATGTGACGGCTCCGAGATAACGGTGGAGGTCGACACAGACAGCCTGGACTTTAACTCTGCGGACTACCCTCAGCAGTACCAAGGGTCAGAGATTTTTGAGATTCCAAATGATTTATTGATTTGAAAGGCCTTTGCTTCATACATCCACACATTTTAACATAAGGCTCGGCAATTACATACATTGGTGCAGCACATCGGATATTTAACATAAATACCAAAGGTTAGAAAAGTTCACAGAGGACTGGGGAAATGGTCTGTAGGGTTGGGGGAGGGGGGTAAATTTAATTATTATTTTAGTTAACGTCTTTGTCAGAGGCGTAATATTAACTCCCCCCCCTCCCCCACCCCTCCCACCCCAACCGGTCATCCACGTATTTTCCAGAATTTTGCTGTTGTTGTTGTTGTTTCTCTATTCCCACTTACGAAATTGTTCTTTGTTCCATTACAGCGATGTTCAGTGCAAGTGGAGACTTCAAGCGCCGAAAGGCAAATCAGTCGAGGTTGGGATTGTAGATCTTTCGCTGGGTCCAGGTGGATGGACATACCCTTGTGAGAGCTATATCTCGTACAGAGAAGGTCAGTCCACACCACAAGGATTTGTGAGACAGCGTGGTGGAATCAGGCTCTCGTCAAAATAATCAAACTGAAGTAACTTGTATTTGTCCGCAGGTTTGTGAATTTTTATCCATTTTTTTTTCGCTCAACACCTTTCATGCCCATTAAAGAACTCATTTCTTTGTAGATTGTCTGAAAAACGTTAATTAAAGGCATAAAAAATGTCAATTTTCTGTTACCATGGACTCATAAGGTAAAGAAATAACTAATCTTTGACGGCCATTTTCTTACTAATTTTACCTCTGAAAACAGGTGACCACCACCTCCTTCTTTCGCAAATATCTTGACTCGTACTCAAGATAAATGGATATTTTTTCCATCCAAATAAAGACAAGTGAACAAGCTTTGAAATGATAGCAATAACTCTACATGCCCAAAAATTGACGAGAGCCTGATTCCTCCACGCTGTCTCACATTTTGTAAAAAGGGGAGGGGCTGAAGCTGACAGCTGCGAACTCAGTGGTAACAGATGAATGTGCAACCTTCCTCAGTACACGTAGGTCAGAGAGTTATAGTGAACCTTAGAAATCATATACTGAAGTTCAAAGTAGTTTGTTGAGGCTGTTTTCAGCCTGTCTTCAAAATACCACTGGCTGCTAACTTTTATATTCATTTTTAGACTAATGACCTGTTACCTAACACGTATAACACTTGGATAGGTGTAAATTCTTTAAAATATATTTAATATATTTACCTCATTCTCCACTCAAGAATGACTTCAAAGAAAA